AAAATGAATAATGTACTAGAAGCAGTGAAGTTGAAGGCCTTGGTCAACACTATAGATGCCATTTCTATGTTTTCTCAATTTTGTTGATCTTTACTTGTTGTTTTTCTCTTTTGTTACCTGTTCCCCTTACTTTTCAAATTTGGGGAGAAAGTTAAGATGGACTAGAATTTTCTCCCTGCACTCTACTCCTCCCTCTCCCACCTCACAATTAGTTCTCCATCTCTTTCCTTCTGCTTTCGAGTGATAACTTTCTTGGAAGAGTCCTGAACCATAGAACAGGACTGAATATATAACCATAACATAGTTTGAAAATGTATATTTGTAAAATGTCTTTTTTTTCCTCTCTACTTTGAGTGCCTTTAATCTGCAACTGGATATATTTTGATCTTTCTGGAAAACCTGATAGGTTAAGACTCAGCAAAGTAAATGCAGACATGTGAATTCTTCCTGTTCCATATTAAAACAAAACAACAACAAAAAAAGATGAGACCTGTAGTATATATATATGGGAAAGGTTTGCTAAGTAGTTACTGGCAAGGATGAGAGGAGATTGGAAAAGGGATGTGTAATTCAGGATGGTAAATGAATTTAGTATTTTGAGTCAGACAAATTTGTATGTGAATCCAGGTTTAATGGATTTTGTTTTCAAGTTATGATCTGGCAAACTTCCCTTATATGTCAGACTTGTCTTTGATGAATACATGAAAATGTTTGTATTTCTTTTTTTTTTTTTTTTTGTAGTTTGGAGTATAGATATCAAACAAATGTGTTATCCTTGAACTCATTTTTTTCCCTCAATCCCATGATTTGTCAGTCTTTGGCTTCAGAAGCTTAGCAGCTTTCATTTTCTCTCAGCTATTGCATCATCAAATATAGATAACATATACTCCCTTATGTGGCTTGGAGTCACTGTTTCTGGTTTTTGCCTTGATCTTATATGTGAGAAAAATGGTACAGAGCACTGAGCTTCAATTCCAATTTCTTCTCATGTTCTTGAGTAGTAAATTCTGTATGTACATCTTAGCATAGAGTAGTTTAGTTACAAGAAGATTTGGAATATTTATCATTTTGATTACTTAACAGTAATTCTCCTTCAAGAGTGTGCATCAGAATTCTTTGTGATACTTCAAATTTATTTTCCTGGGCTCTGCTCAGACCAATTGAATCGGTGTATTTGGAACAGGGCCTAAGTATTAATTCCACTACGATGAATTAATGTATGTAAATATGTTCTTCAGTGGCTTTCCTATTACTGAGGAATAAAGTCAAAATGAAGCATAGCATTCAAGACCCATTTATGATCATCTAATTTCTTATAAATTTTGTTTTTTACCATTCTCTCTGGTAACTATATTTTCACTATTGAAATTTCAGTGTAGTAAATTTTTCAACCACCTACTTGGTGATCTCTATTAGTACCTGTCTTTAAACAATCAACTTAAAACCCATATGGATGTGATTTTTTAAATTATTTTTTAATTCAGCAGGTATTTGAGAGCTGTATTCAACCTTATTTTATATAATTTATTTTTGACTCCCACATGGATTATGTTTTGTTTCTGTTGAAGAGAAGAGCCTTAGAAGAGTTAGAGTATAATCTAAGATAGTGTGCCATCTAAACCCTCTCTAACCAAATTCAGTGCTAACCTTTGTTACTAAAGCTGGTTTTCATTCTTGTTGACTGAAAAGTTAGGACCATACCATTTCCTTTAAACATATTCTGCCCCTCTGGTGATACTGTTTCTGTTTCTCAAGGATTCCATTTTCTTGGGCTTATACCTTGACAACCTATTCTTACTCTCCCCATTCTCTTTGAATACTCTGATCTACCTTGGCATCAGTTATCATCTCTATGTTCTTATATCTATTTCTAGTCTAAACTCCCCTTTTAGAAACTCTAAGCAGTTGTAAAGTGGGAATCTAACACACCTATTTCAATGGCCAGTGTATAACATGGATTCAGAAATTTAAAGCACCTTGATATCTGTTGCCTGCAAAAAGAAAATAACTTTCTTTTTCTCTTTATCCTGGTAAGTGGTGTTCTTGTGCAATTGATGATGCTACAGTCTTTATGTTGATGACCTTTAGTCAGAATCATGCTATATGCACCTAGAGCAACCAAAGTTATGTTTTTGGATGCTTTCTGCAGCAAGAGTAGTCACGACCCATGGGGAGCTAGAGTGTCTCAGTAAGATGGCACTGGACAAACTTAGAGAATTTGGGCTTTTGTTGAGTAGTTTGCTGGAGGAGTCTAGAAAGTGGTGGGGTTTGCTCTAGACTAGGTGCTATCAAGAAGTGGGGAAATTCTATAATTTGGTACCTTAATAAGTCTTCCCTACTAGGTGAAAGGAATAGGACAAAGCTAAAACTGAAATTGGTAAAGAGGTTCATTGGGCATTCCCCCCACCAGTGGTTTGTACAAAGTCCTTGCCTTGGACTTCACAGTGGTTTGTTTTGCCTCACTTCATCATGGTTACACAGGATCTTATTGGATTTAGTGAGCTGTGAGTCTAGTTGTGAAGGGCTGCTTTTCTCTTTTTTTCTTTTTAACTTATTTGGGATAGACATGGAAAATTATGTAGCATTTAGATAGTAGGAAGTCTCCTATTTTTTTAACTTTTTTGGGATAGACATGAAAAATTATGTAGTATTTAGATAGTAGGAAGATAGAGAATGTTTTAGACAAGGGTGTGTAAACAAGGAATTGATAGGCTATTGGCCACTAGGGCAGGTCAATAAAGAAACTTATTTCACTAGGAATATATCGGTGGAATCTAGTGTTCCATCAAAGCATAAATGCATAGTTTGTTTATTCTGTATCTGGGCTAGAGAGGGTAGGTATGAGGTTATATGTCAATCACATATGGAGCCTTTTAAAGCTGAATGTTTGATTACTAATCATGTGCCAGGCATTGTATAAGTCAGCTTTATATCACTGACAAGAACAACTTAGAAGAGGAAAAGTTTATTTTGGATGAGTTTCAGAGGTTCAGTCCATGGTCAGCCTACTCCATTGCTGTGAGCCTGAGGGGAGGCAGAACATCATGATGGAAAGCATGGCAGAGGAAAGCTGCTCAGCTCGTGGTGGCCAGGAAACAGAGCAGAGTGCAAAGCAGCCATGGACAAAAATCTCAAGACATGCTTCTAATAACTTACTTCCTCCAGCCATACTCTACCTGCATGTAGTTACTACTCAGTGCAGTGTCCTTTCAAATTATCAATCCATCAAATGGATTAGTCCACTGATTAGATCACAGTTTATGATCTAATCATTTCACATCAGATCCTTCTTACATTGTTTATCACATGAGATTTTAGCGGGACACCTCATATCCAAACCATAACAGGCACTAATTACTTATCTGATATGTTTTAATCCCTCAGGTAAGTTGAGTTAGAAAGGATGGATGGTTCTTATGTAGAATAAACTGGAAACCCAAGTGCAGTGCTAGTTGTGTAGACTGTTAGATTACACTTATGTGCTTGAGTTTTAACATAACAGTTTGGGTTGATTTAATTCCTACCCTTCCTCCCAGCTAGTATTTTATTTGTATGATCTTGAGCAAATTACTGAGCTCCTTAGAACTACTATATTTTATAGATTTCTTTCTTTCTTTGTTCCAGGGATTGAACCCAGTAGCGCTTAACCACTTAGCCACATCCCCTGCCTTTTTTATAAAATTTATTTAGAGACAGGGTCTCACTAAATTGTTCAGGGTTTCACTAAATTGCTGAGGCTGGTTTTGAAATTTCAATCCTTCTGCCTCAGCCTCCTGAGTTGCTGTGATTACAGGTGTGCATCTCTAACCCAGCTTATTTTATAGATTTAAATGGGCAATAATAATACAAAATCCAGAGGGTTGGTAGTACCTGACACTTCATAAAATCTTAAAATAAAATAATTGCTGTTTTTTTCTTCTATTAGCTATGTGACTTTTGGCAAATCCCAAATTCCTAAAAGACTCAGTTCTCATTTCACTTCCCAGGATTCGTATCCTTCTTGCATTGTTTATCACATGAGATTTTAGTGGGACTCCTCATATCCAAACCATAACAGGCACTAATAGAAGGATCAAAAGTAATATGTGGAAGCATTTTTGAAACAAAGCACTGTACAAATAGACTAATTTTCTTGACAGATAGATGATGGTGGTTGGTTATGAGGTTTGGGGCCAAATTCTGTAAGATCCTGAATTTGGGATGAGAAATTTTAGACTTTATGCTGTGTACATTAGAAATCAGCAATCAAATACTTTAAAGCAAGAGGATAAGATGATAAAGGTGGTGGCATAGGAAACTTGAAATTAGAAAGGGAGAACTTAGAGGCCATATTTAGGAAGCCCTTTTACGAGTAAATGATGGCCTAGATTTGAATAATGACAGTAGATGTGAAAAATCTAGGACATTCCTAAGGAATTACTGAAGTTTAGTTCTAAGTTGGATATGAGGAATATAGAAATAAGAGGTTTCTTGAATTTTAATTTTGGAAATTTTAATTTATATCTAAATTTGTTTAGGTATAAATGGTTAATAAGTTTGAAGGAATAGCCATGTGGTGATGTACAAGATGATCAGAAGCTTCTAGTTTTAGGTATTTTATTGGCTTTCTGTATGATGTAGACCCATATGATGTGAAAAGGAAGTTGTTGAGAAAGGGTACAAGTAGAGTGGTAAGCTGTAAAGAATTTGGTTTTAAGTTAAAATATATATAAATATCTTAGAAACGTGATTAAAAACCATTGTGGTTGAAATTACTTTGAAATGCATGAAAAGTGATAGACGCATAGGGAGATGAGTAGATATGTAATAAATGTAGCAAAATGTTAATTGTAGAATGTAGAAGGTGAGTATATGGGTGTTCACTGTAAAATTTATTCAGCTGTTCTGCATATTTGAAAGTCTTACTAAAATGTTGGGGGAGGAGTGGAGACAAACTGTTTGCTAAAGGCTCTTCTGAAGCAGTTTACCTCTCTGACCTGAAAGTTTTGTTTTCTCTGTAGGAACTTTCCGCTGTACTTTTTGCCATACAGAGGTAGAAGAGGATGAATCAGCAATGCCCAAAAAAGATGCTCGCACACTTTTGGCAAGGTTTAATGAACAAATTGAGCCCATTTATGAATTGCTTCGGGAGACAGAGGATGTGAACTTGGCATATGAAATACTTGAGCCAGAACCCACAGAAATCCCCGCCCTGAAACAAAGGTGAGTGGAGGCCCTGTGCCCTTACCAAGGACCCTTAAACTTGCACTTATTTAACTTTGGAGAGCAAGAGTGGGTAAGTAATTTATCAGGAAACTAATGGCTACAATTTTACATAAGCTTTCCTTATAATGTAGACCCAAGTATGTAATATGTGAAAAGGCAGTTGTTGGGAAAGGGTACAAGTAAACTCTTGTACACTTGCGCTTATAATAAAATTTGTTTGTATTGAATGCAGAACAGTGTGGACCTTAGGCAAAAATCTTTAAATATTTCAGGTTTGACCTCAGCTACTCACTCTGCTCAGGCCTGCAGTAACTCAGCCAGTTGTTAGCTAATCCTAAATTAGTTGTGCCTCTTGGGGATATTTGAATTTTCCGAGACTGATTTTGAAGACTGAAATTCTTCCATATAGCATTTTCTTTTTGTTGTTGTTGTTTTTAAGACATTTTAGGTTACACATTTCTTGCTTTCCTTAGTTTTAAATGTAACTGCCTTGAAAGTATAGTTGAGTGTTACCTATGGGTTAATACTTTGACAATAGCTCCCCATTTTTTTCGTTGTGCACTAATGTCTGAATTGCAGAGTCAGCCTTTGTTCTACTATAAAAAGTGGTTATATTCTTTTTTGAAAAAGCATAAACAAGAACTGGGGTCAGTGAGTATTCTACTGCTTTGTGCTTTTCCTCTCTTCCCAGTATCAAGATAAATTTTTATCCACCTACTCAATGTAGAGCTTAATAAGTTCTGGTTGTACAGCTTTTAGGAATACTCTTAGTATTTTATTCCTTCTGGTCATGATGTTACAGGATAGAGGTTCCTGAGTTTCATTTGGGTGGTAAAAAAAAAATATATTCAGTTTTCCAGAGAAAGTTTTGCATCTCTACCAGTTATTGTGAATTTTCTAATCTGAGACCATACATCAGGAAGGCCTTTGCCTATGATAACAGAAATCCAACTAGAAATAGATTGAACAGTACAAAAATTTGTCTTGCATGACCAGAAGCCCTGAGGCAGTACAGTTCAAAATTGGTTGATTTCACAGCTCAATTACATCCTAAAGGATCTTAGCATGCTGGTTGTCTTCTTGGAAGCTAGCCTATGGTGACCTGTCTTTCTAGAGTATCACACTGTTTAAATTTCTATAACAGAATACTGAAAACAAGACTCTTAACACAGTCTTTTGTTAACATTTATGTTAAATAATTTGTTCTTTCTTTCTAGCTTTCTTATTTTTTTTCTCTATTTAAAGTATTACTTATACCTTCATGAGATAGTTTTCGGAGTTAACACTAAAGGAGGAGCATATATGAAAATTATGTGTTCCTGAGTATGTATAAAGAAACAGATGCCAGGCCCAGTGGCTCATATCCATTCCCAACTAAGACTGAGTGTGTAACTCAGTGGTAGAGTGCCCCTGGGTTTAATTCCCAGTTCTGCAAGGAAAAACAAAAACAGAATAGACTGAGAAAGAGTGGTCAAATCATTTGAGAAGGAAAGGTAACTTTCTCTCTCTTAGGTGGGGTTACCTAGCAAAGCTCAAGAGACCCATTTTTGGGGTAGACTGGTATAGAGAACAGGCTCAGCATAACAGAGTAAAGGTGTTGGCTGAGGATAGAAAAGGTGTTGAAAAGATTCAGGGAGACAAATGGGTGAGGGAGGAGAGACTCAGAATGTAGAGTAAGCACAAAAACACAAACAGATCAGGCCAAGAAAAAGAAAAGTGAATGCTAAGGGAAACTAAAATTCAAAAAGCCAACACACCAAAATAAGCAGAGTCAGATTACATAGCCTTTTAGAAGACACTATTGAATAGGTAAAAAACAGAACAAATATGACTAGGGGCTGGGGCTGTAGCTCAGTGGCAGAGTGCTTGCCTAGCATGTGTGGGGCACTGAGTTTGACCCTTACCACCATATAAAAATAAAACAAATAGGACATTTTGTCCATCTATAACTACAAAAAAATTTTTTTAAAAAATGACTAGGGACAGATATGGTTCAATTGAGATAAACAGTTAATAGTACAAAAAGTAATATCACATGCATTCAGAAAGAAGTAGAAGATAGAAACCAGTTACTTACAACTGTTGCATGAAACCTCAGAATACAGCAAACAAATAGATGAATCAGATATATTTGGAAAGACTCAGAGTTGGGAGAACAAGCAACTGCTACAATGTGGGCAACAGGAAGCAGATAGGAAGGAGGCAAAACAAGTGACTGAGACATGGAACAGATACAGTAGGTGCCAGAAAGAAAAGACTGGTAAAAGAGGTTTACAAAGTAGTCCTGAGTACAACTAGAGTAATGAAAAGAATGCAGAAAGTAGAAGAGGCAGAAGCTGGAAGGTATGAATTATATGATGGGGTCAGGATGGACTGAACAACTGGAAAGTGGATATTTGATTGCAAAAGTTTCACTGGATCTGTAAATATCCAGAGTCAGGACAGAAAGAATGAGACAAGTCCAAGTGTACCTCTTGAAGAAGGTCAGATACAGTGTTGCAAAAGAGATGTAACAGGCTAGTCAGATACATGGACAGAGATGAAACCTCAACTAAGCACAAGACAGAAAGCCTGAGTAGATATGAAGTGGGCCCAGAAAGAAATGTAGATCAATGTAGTTCCAGAACAGACAAGGGCCTAAAATGAAGGAAAAATAAGAAATGGCTTATGAGGATAGAAGACAAAGGATTGATTATCATCAGAATGAGAGTCTTTACACACAAAGTAGTCCAGGTTCCAAGGAAAAGACTCAGAGAATCAAGGAAAAACATGAAGCTGGAGCTGGAGCTGGGCTCTGTGGAAGCGCACTTGCCTGGCATGTGTGAGGCACTGGGTTCGATTCTCAGCACTGCATTTAAATAAATGAAATGAGCGCCTATCAACAACTAAAATAAATAAATAAATAAATAATGAGGCCAAGAAATTCAGTCACTGAACACTGAAAAGAAGATAGCAAAAGGTATAGATAGAGTCAGCAGTTAGTTCAAGAAACTTGAAGTTTGCCTGGCGCTATGGTGCATACCTATAATCCCAGCAACTCAGAAGGCTGAAACAGGAAGACTGCAAATTTGAGGCCACCCTTAACAACACAGTGAGACCCTGTCTCAAAATAAAAAGGGCTGGGAACGTGGCTCAGTGTTAAAAGAGTCCCTAGATTAAATACATAGTAGATACCTCCCACTTACCCCCCCCCCCAAAAAAAAAAGAAAAGAAACTGAATGTTTAAAGAATGAATACAGTTATAGCTATCTAAACAGCAAGGGGGTGCTGAGGATGTCCCTCAGGGTACAATGCCACATGTAGGAGTTCTGCATTCAATCCCCACTACTACAGTAGATACATAGACAGAGAGGAAGGAGAAGGGGGAGTCCTGCATAAAAATTGATGCCAAAAAAAAAAAATAGTAGTAGTTGACAGAAAGACAAGGTTTGAGCTCAAATACAGAATCAAGTATAGTCAAAAGAATTTGGAATAGGTTGCAAGAAGTAGGGAAAGCAGGAAATAGCCAAAAGACAGAAAACTTGACTAACTCAGAAATAGGGGAACACGAGTGACCAGAGAAAAAGATGAGGAATGATCACACTTACATTAACAGACAAAGGTCAGAGGTAAATAGAGGTAAAGAGCAAACAATAGACAGAAAAATAGAACATAGTCCCTGTTGGGTAGAAATAGCAGTTGAGGACCTATACAAAGAGACAGCATTAGGAATGGAAATAGAACAATTCAACTTGATAGAAAATAGGCTGGTCTTTGCAGAGGGATATGTCATACTTTGAGTTGTAGAAGGAGAATTTAATTCTGAGTTGAGGTTTCACTCTATAGAATAATTTTCTAATAACCTCTGTGGTCAGCACTCAAAATCATTTTGGATTATTCTGGGTTGAGCTAAGAAAATATATTTTAAATTCCAACATATTTTGTTTTTAAAATGAAAGATGTTACTGGGAAAGTTTTTAATTTTAATTTTTTTTATCTTTTAGTGAATTGTGTCACCATTATTCCTGCCTTCCCCTAAGTAGATTTATTGAACCATCTTAATCTATAAAACCATAGTCATTGACACACCATAGGATTTGGTGTTTAAGGAACTTAAAAAATAAATATGATGTCTTGTTCTAATCCATGCAGCTTTTTCCTTGAGTTACAGAAGAGATTCCTGAGAATTATTAAAGCTGAAAAGCATTTATTCATAAGAATTTAGTGACCATCTCCAGCTATTCTTCTTTTCCAACACTGAGACTTAAGTTTTCTTCTTTTGTATTTTCCTCTAATCTTATATAGCAAGGACCGTTCAGCAACTCCTGCTGGAGCTGCTGGATTGGCAGGTGGGCACCACCGAGAAGCATGGACTACTAAAGGCCCCTCCTACGAAGACCTATACACTCAGAATGTTGTAATTAACATGGAAGATCAAGATGATGTTCATCGCACATCGCTGGAGGGTAAATCTGTCAAGGAGAGACCTATTTGGTTGAGAGAGAGTACTGTCCAAGGGGCCTATAGTTCTGAAGAGATGAAGGAAGGTAAGAGTCTATGTCTTGGGTTCAGTAGAAAATGAACTTAACTTAGTGGCAAATACCTGGAAAATTCACTGTACTTGTTTTACAAATTCATCTCTCCTTTAATCTTCTACTGCCCTAATTTATATGTATTTTTATTTTTTTGAATTGAAAGCCATAACTATACACTAGTACAAATATTTTAATATTATTCCCTCTAAAATACCAAGGTGTTTATGCTATTTGAAATATATACAAAGATGTCACATATGTAAAGGATTGAATATCTCACAGTCCAATGTTGATAAAAATTTATTCTAGAATATTTTGGAAATCTTCATGAGCCAGAAAGGGTTGAGAATTGCATAATAATCTTCACAAGTTTGAGAACTACAAAATTTTGCTTTCTAAGTTTGGGTCTAGGGTACTGGATTCAAGAATGTGATATAGAAAATGGGAGGATCTAAGACTGGACACAAATACTACTCAAAAACTGGAAAACAGGTGGCAGGAAGTCTCTGTACCCCTGGTTATATCTCATCAATACCTATTCCCAGGTTATTTATTGTTGTTAGCATATCACCTGAGAATGGTTCTTTAGTGGTGAAGAATCATCAGTAACTGAAAGTCACTTGGTGTTGGCCTTTCCCCTAACCTCTTTTCCTTTTAAAAAATCCATTTAGTATACTGTATGTTCTAGGGATTGTAAAAGTACTATGGAGTTTTGGGTAGTACCTCTAGTGTGATTCTCTTTGATATTTTAACTCCAGTTAGAAAGAAGTTTTCCTTGACCACCATAGTCTTCCCTCCTCACTAACTAGTTTGCTGGGTTCAGTTATTTTGATTTAGGATGTTCTAGATTATATAGCAGTTAGACTGTCACTTTCATGATGTAGCACAGACTTAACTGGTGCATGTATGAAGTGAGTTCTGTTTATACTTAAGTTTTCTTTAAACTTTCAAGTCATGTTGGTATCTTTTCAAATGTTACAGACTTCAATCATGTCCTCTTTACTGAAAGTTCTAATTCCTTTCTATTCTACTTTCCTTAAAAGTAGTGTTGTTGCCCAGAGCCATCTCTGCCCATAATTATTTTACTTTATGTTTTATTCATACCATTTTCATCCTAATATACTTGAGATGTAGTGACCAGATACATGTTATAGATTAATATTAATACATAGATTAAATCATTAATGATTTCAGTTTTATTTCCCGTATTTTTCTGATTTTTACCTGACATTTTGATTGTTGCTTTGGTTATGGAAATATCATAATAGATGAGTAACTTCAGAAACATGTTCAGGTACCTTTTAGAATGCTCTCTTGTATTTTACAGCTTGGATCATGTCTTCAATATATTTTAGATTATTTTTCTGTAGACAACATTTCTTTTGCACTTTTCTGTATAAAAGAGATCTGCTGCCTTTCTGCTCACTTACACAGTCTTTAGCTTTTCCTATATTTTTTGTTGTAGCTTGGCTTTTAAGCCCAGAATTGTTTATTGTCATCAGTGATCTCAGTTGTTTTATAGTATATATCTTAGTAATTTATAACTGATAAATAAGACTGTTTTACTTTACTTTCATTTATCCTTGCTTTTTTCTGTCTTTATCTATAAAAAAAATTCCTTTCTTCTCCAAACCACTTTGTTAGAAATCTCTTAGATATGACTTCATTTACTTTACAAAACTAATGGTTTTCTGCTAATTTCATGTTTACTTTAAACATAAATTAAAACACTGTGTTGGTAACTATTTGAAACATTCTTTTCTTAGCAGTTTTCCCCTAGATACTTAAATGCATTCTTTGCTGTTTTCTGTTGAAATACCACACTGGCAAAAAAGATCACTGGGAGAGAGATTCTATCTTCTTTTTTTTTTTTCTCTCTCTCTCTCTGGGGATTGAACCCAGTGCTTCTTTACCACTGAGGTACATCCTCAGCTCTTTTTATTTTTTATTTTGAGATAAGATCTCACTAAGTTATTGAGGGTGGCCTAAGTGCCAGGTCCATTCTAAGTACTTCACATTAACTTAATTGTCACAATAATTCAGTGAAGTAAATATTATTACTTTTTTTCCCTTCAGATATTGAAGAAAGTGAATCAGGGAGAGTTGGTATGAGTTGGCCAAAAATCATACAGCTAATAAATTGTTAGTATTTGAATCAGGAATCAGGTTCCATTCAATACTTTTAATCCTCTTATATATTTAAATAATATGTTTGGTATTATCAGAATGCAAAGTACAAATATCTTTCTTAAATTTTTCATCTACATTATATCAGTCAAAATGTACATACAAAATAGTAGATCTGTGATGAGAGAATATTTATTCCTCAAATCAGATACCTATTATTTATGATGTTAGAAAATAAGTGCTTTGGGAGAAAATAGAGCTTTGATAAAGCAACATTTAAGTTAAAAACATGGAAGATGTAAGGGAGTAGTTGTATGAATACCTAGAGAAAAACTATTCCAGGCAAGAGGGAGCAGGCATTACAATACCCTGAGGTAGAGGTATGCCTGTATATGCCAGGAATACCAGGGAGGCCACCGTAGCTGGCACAGAATGAGTAAGAAGAAGAAGAGGTAAGAGGTAGGTGGTCAGGTGGTGTTCTAGATGGTGTAGGACCTCATGGGTCATTGCAAGGCCTTTGGCATTTACTCTGAGCAAGGTAAGAAGCCATGTTTTGATATCCTGTTATGCCAGCTACTGTACTTGGTTCTTCATAGACATTATTTTATATATTTTTATCCATTGTCTTAGAAGGTAGATTCTTTTATCATCCTATTTTACAGAAAAGATATTGAACTTTAGAGGTTAAATAACTTGCTCAAGGTGATACAGCTTGCATATTGAAGAACCAGTATTCAAATCCATTGTATATTACACATAAAATCTATGTACTTGGCCATTAGACTACTTAAGTTGCAGTTTGTGAGAAACGTTTTGAATACTCTGTGGATAGCAACTCAAGAAATGAAACTGGTTAAGTCTGTGGTATTATATTATTATCTATTTAAATATAACACATTAAAATATGTATTTCATTAGCTATAAAGGATTTCTTTTTATATTTAAGGATGTTAACTTTCTGGGTTTTTACCCCCAGGTGGCATAGACATGGACGCATTTCAGGAGCGTGAGGAAGGCCGTGCAGGGCCTGATGATAATGAGGAGGTCATGCGAGCACTCCTCATTCATGAGAAAAAGACTCCCTCTGCCACAGCTGGCTCAGTGGGGGCAGCTGCTCCTGTATCTGCTGCCAATGGCAGTGACTCAGAGAGTGAAACCAGTGAGTCTGATGATGACTCTCCACCTCGTCAATCAGCTGCTGTGGCCGCACACCGTCGGGAAGAGGATGAGGAAGATGAAGATGAGTTTGAGGAAGTAGCAGATGACCCCATTGTCATGGTGGCTGGCCGTCCATTCTCTTACAGTGAAGTGAGCCAGCGGCCAGAGCTGGTGGCCCAGATGACACCAGAAGAGAAGGAAGCATACATAGCAATGGGACAGCGCATGTTTGAGGACCTCTTTGAGTGATCTTTCCCTACCTTTTCCTCCTTTCTGTAATGCTCACTGCAAAAAGAAATTCCCCACCCTTGAAGAAAAGTGTTTCAGAGTCTTTCTGTCCCTGTTGATGTTAAGCAACTGTTAATGTTGCACAAAGAATAACAGAAACGAAAGTTCAATTTTTATGCCAGAAACTTCTCAGAAAGGTAGGTTGGCTGTAAGCATTCCCTTCCCTGCTATTACTACAGTATTAATATTTTACTGTATTCCTTCTCTAATTTTTTTCCTTTCCTTTGAAAGACATTTTTCTCCCTTTTGAAATGAGTAAGGAAAGCTCATAAGGTAAATTCATCTTACCTGCCTTCAGAAGCCTACTACAATAAATTACAATAATTTACTGATGCCATCTTTTTACCTATTCTGACCAAATGTATTCCAAACAATTCCTTTTATTGCTGCCAATCAGAGCAGATTGCTAGTAGACAAACCACTAATGAGGGGAAACATATCAAAACTTCTTATTTCCCCCCAAATAAGGTTGGGGTCAAGATGTAAGGAGAGGTGAGGGAGTATGTATGTGCAGAAGAGGGAAGGATGTGCTTGAATCTTGTGTAATTAATGTCTGATCTGTAAGTCATGTCTTTAGAATTGACCACACTGGTAGATTTTTTTGTTTTGTTTAATGCCTTTTGGTTTGGATTTTGGGTGATAGAATACAGTATGCTTGTTAAGAATTTAGAAAAAAAACATGGACAAAGGACAAAAACTTCACATAAAGGGTCGAAGAGTGAAGGGTATTGGGAACAGTGCCTTAGAACTGCCTGAGTTTGTTATGATTTGAAAATCATTTATACAAAATTAAGACTGGTCCCATTTTTTTCATTCTATAGGCCTCTTGCCACTACTGTAAGTTAAGAAGTTCATTCCCCCAGAAATAAGCATGGAATAATTGTTTATTCTCTCACACACATTCTCTCCCTCTTTGTAAACATCGTTGAAGACTTTGTCTTGCTTTTGATTCTTGTCAGATATGGTATTTTTAGAGTGCATTCAGTATATTGCTGAGCATTACAACCTTAAGAAACATAGTTTATTTGGGTTCTGATATGTAGCATGGCATTATTCCTGAAGGCAGAACTTTAAAATAAAGGACTTTCATATAAGGATCTATAACAATTGTATTTTTTTGTAATATTTTTCCTTGCATTGTAATTTTTAAGTATTTATCATTTTATAATCCATGTGTGAAATTAAATCAGCATTTTAGAATATCTGAGCCTTGTATGAAGTGATCTTTCATTTACCTGAGTTGTATTAATGACTGAATATTGACAATAAACCTATTTTATACTAACTGGAATTTGTTATTTTCTAGCCTCATAACATTTTAGAGTACAACTAAAATGTGTATTCTTCCTATTAAAGTTTTTTCGCTTATAAATCATTGTTTCATATAATAGGTGCAATTGTATGGAATCTAAAATTTTCTGGCAATAGTTGCCATAAGAATAACTTTATGCCGGGTGGCAGTGTCACATGACTATAATTCCAACAACTCAGGAGTCTGAGGCAGGATTATCACAAGTTCAAGGTCAACCTCATCAATTTAGTGAGACCTTATCTCAAAATTTAAAAATTGATGGCTGGGTGTGGTGGCACATGCAGCAGCTTGGGAAGCTGAGGCAGGAAGCCTCAGCAATTTAGCAAGACCGTGTCTCTAAACAAAATATAAAAAGGGTTGGGGATGTGAACTAAGTGGTTAAGCACCCCTGGGTTCATCCCTGGTACCTACCCCCTCCCCCTCCCCCAATGGGTTGGGGGTGTAGTTCAGTGGTTTAGTACCTTTGGGTCCAATCCCCAGTATTTAAAAAAGAAAAAAAAAAACATTGTTTTTTAATTCTCATAGCTCTAGAAGTCAAATTAAGTAAAATGATAACCAGATGTTAATTTTTAAAACATAGTTACTTTTAAACTATATGGTCTTTTTTACTTTTTGTACCAGTGTAAAAGAATGTTACAAGTGAAGGTAAAGGTATGAATAAGGGTACTCATTATAGTAGTTTACTCACTAAAATCAGGAAGTAAATATTTTCCTATGAAACCATATAGCCACTAAAAAGAATGAACTGACAAGAAAATATATTCGTGCTGTGTTAAATATAGGGATTCTTTTTTTTTTTTTTTTTAATGGGGTCAGGGCAGGGGTATGTGTAAAGGAAAATGGAGCTAACATATAGTGCTATGTGCAGACACTGTTTTAACTCCTTTATATGTGTTAATTAAGCTTTTCTGGCAAAGCTTTGAGGTTTGTGTGTAAGTTTATATATATAAAATAATAAGAATTACAGTGGGTATAAGAGTTACAGTGATCTAAATGTTACAATGGAAAAAGATATTTCCATTTTGAAAAAAGAATCAAAAGGACATTTAATGAATTTCATGTAGAAATTACCTGCAGAAATTGTGGAGTGATATAAAAAGCAAGCTCTTTTTATGTTAATGTTAGGATTTTTTGGTGTGCTTTATTTTATTATATATTTTTTGCATCCTGGGCTAATCATTTCCTTAGATAAACATCTCTGAATTTATACTCAATAGGAAAATACAATTTAATATGTAAAGTTTTGACTGTTACCTCCATATTTCAATAATGTATAATAAAACAATAGAGTTTGATATTTATCAGTCAGGGTTGTCTCAAGTTGGACAGTAATTTGATAAGGAAATCCAGTCAGGGACAGAAAAACAAAAAAATGGTAACACTGTCAATTATTAAACTCTGAAGCTCTTAGTAAGGGCAAACTTATATACCAAGGAGATAGATACATGTAGTTGCAATGTCTCTTTACCCCAAGACAACTGAAATTATCATCCCCCACAGCCTTTAATAATGAATAGCCAGGAACATGGTTTCTCTGATTATGGTTGACTATATTAGTATAATTCAAATGTAAGCTGCTTGATTTAAATTTAAACCTTTATTATGATTTAAATGAAACACTATTTTTTTAAATTTGAGATGAAGTGTCTCAGGTTGTCCAGACTGGCCTCTAACTTGCAAGCCTCCTACCTCAGTTGCCCAAATTAAATGGAACTCTTATCCTAACATGGTGAAATACTTGTAGCAAATTAAAGCACAGACAACAGTTAATTCAGTTTCTCTTTCCCCATCTTGCCAAAGTACTTCACTTCTACTTGTCTGACTGAGGAGAAATAATTGAATATTTTATGATTCTATTGGTATTGAGAGAATTGGACAGTAAATGGGAACAAGATTGGGAAGAGCAAGTTCATTTTCTTCTGTTCTACTGGTTGGCTGTATGGCTAGATTCCCAGCCAGAACCACAATAGAAAGACTTAAATATGTACTTTCTTGTTCTCTTTATTTCCAAGTTTTAAAAAAGGAACTAGGAAATGACAATTTCTTTTTCTCTTTATTCCTGAGCTTTAAAAAAGATCTAGGAAATGAGGATAAAAGACTAATATGAAATTCTTTAGAATTTAGAAACTGATATAATTCTGGGTAACCTATTTGTGTAGCATTTTGTTTTCATCAAATCTATTTCACATGTATTGTCTTTATTTATTTATTTTTGGTACCAGGGATTGAACCTAGGGGTGCTTAACCACTAAGTCACTTCCCCAGTCTTTTTTTTTTGACACCCCATCTAAGTTACTTAGGACCTTGCTCACTTGCTGAGACTGGCTTTGAATTTGCAACACCCCCCCCACCCCCCCACCCTACCTCAGCCTCCAAGGTTGTGGGGATTACAGGCATATGCCACTTTGCGTAGCTCACATGCATTATCTTTAACAGAGATGGATTACTGTCATTTTTTTTTAATAAAAAATCTTGGAAATGAGAAAGATTTTTAGAAGGAAACCAGCCTTAAGGTAAATACACTATCTATTCTGTTTGTTCTTTCTGCTATAAAAAAAAATCAAACTCTGGACTAGATAAGTACAGATACTCTCAAAATTTGTAAAATCAAAATGGGTTTGGAAGAGAAAAGAATCATGAAATGTTCCTTTGGGAAGAGGAAAAAGAAAAGAAAATTGCTCTTGGGGAAGAGCAATTTCATTTTCTTTTGAGATTAAGGGATGAACTAATTTTGGCATGCCCTGGAGAGCAAGATCAAGTACCCTAGCTTCTCTTCAGAAAGAGCTTCATGTCGTTCTGCGCACCAGAGACAGCCTTTCCTATTCCAGTTACAAAGCAGCCAGACCAGTGCATGATCCAGTTTCAACAATCAACCCATAATTCCATTATACAGAAGTGTATAATTGCCCACCTAATGTAAATACGTGTGCAAAATTAGGAAAGAAGGCTACTGCCAGGTTATAAAATGCCATGAATCATGACATACAAAATGGTTGTATGGCTTTGTTGTTGCTGTTTTTCTATGAATATGTTAACTATTTTGAAGTAATTTTGATAGCAGCGATTGAACCCATGGGTGCTTAACCACTAAGCCACTTTTCCAGTCCTTATTTATCCAATAAGAAATACATATAATAAAAACTGGAAATCCTCAGTTCCCACCATGCCATGATGTTCTTCCCTGAGGTAAACATAGTTTAATGTACTATCCTATACCTCTTCTAGGCCTTTAGACCCCCCACATGCACAGATACTACATTATTATTATTATTATTATTATTTACAAAATTATTATAGTTTGGATTTGGGATGTCCTCCAAAGGCTCATGTGTTGAAGGCTTTATCCCCAACGCATCAGTGGTCAGAGGCGGGCCTTTTGGGTAGTGATTGGATTGAGAGCTCTGATCTTGTCAATGGGTTAATCCATTGATAGGTTCATAAATTGGACCATTGGGAGGTTGTGGAACTAGGAGGTGGAGCCCAGTTGGAGAAAGTAGATCCCTGGAAGAGGGTGTATCTTCCATGGCCCAAGCCTTGCTTACTCTGCTTCCTGGCCATGGTGAGATGAGGAGCTCTTCACTACCACATGCTCCCTGCCATGATGTTCTGCCTTGCCTAAGGCCCAAAGTCATGAGGCCATGTGACTATGGACTAGAACCTCTGAAACTGAGCCAAAATAAACCTTTTCTTTTTAAAATTGGTTTTCTCTGGTATTTTCTCACAGCAACAGAAAGCTTATGAACATGATGTAAAATGCCTGTTATTTAAAAAATAGGACTAGATAGAATTTTTTGATGTAGTGGTATGATGGTTTATGTAACAATTCCCTTAATTGATGGATTGTCACTATTACAGTGCTTATAAGAATTGTGCTTATGTTTTTATTCTATTTATTTCTGTAAGAGAATCGTAAAAGAAATAGCTGAACAAAGGATATATTAGTCTGTTTTGTGTTTCTATAACAAAATATCTAAGTCTGGATACTTCAGTAAGAAAATAGGCATATGCATCATTTTGGAGGCAAAAGTCCAAGATCTGGCTTCTTTGCACCACAACATGGTAAAGAAGTGGAAAGTATTTGGCCCTGTGCACAGGAGGCCAAGTATGTTGAGTGGACTTGTTTTATAATAACCTATTCTTGGCAAGAACTAATTTGTTCCAAGAGACCAGCATTAATTCCCGCCAAGGGCAATGCCCCCTGATGACCTAATCAATCTTTCACTAGGCCCCATCTCTTAAAATTTGCTACCTCATTACATTGGGAACCAACCTTTCAGCACATGAACCCATGGGGACACATTCATCCAAACCAGAGCAAATGACATATCTGATTTAAATTTCAGTAGATACTGCCAAATTGCTCTTCAAAAAGATTGTTGGGTAATTTTAAATGGAAGAACAACTTGTATTGAGACTGGATTACAGTTTAAACTCAAAGATTATTAAGGCTATATAAATAGTTCTATTGAATAATTTGGTCTAAAGACCTGTGTGAGTCAGTGAGGATGGAGAGGTGGGAACAGATTTGAGAAACTTTTAAGAAGTAGCATGAATGGGATTTGGTAACTTTGGATAGGATAGTCCCTTGGCAGAATCTCAGATTTCTAGTTGGACAGTGGTTCCATTCACTATGACTGGAAAGGAAAGAGAGAAGCAGATTTTGTTCCTGTTTCAGATTCAGTAGATGGCACTACCATTTCACCTACAAGCTCCAGCTAAGATGTTTTAACAATTGGCCATCCTTTCTTATTTTCATCCTATGTCAAATTTATAAGCAAGTTCTGTCAGACTCGAAATATAATCTAATTTATATAACCTAATTTTGAAGATAGAGCTGACAGAACTTGCTGATAAATTGAAAATATATTCTAAATCTGACCTCATTACTTCCACCACTACCATCCTATTCTCAACCTCATCAACTCACCTTGGCTACTGCAGCAGCTCCCTGATTGGTCTCCCCACCACCACTCTTCTTC